TTCTCATAAAAATGGTATTTAACATTCTAAAAACAACTGACCCGTACCCTAAATTAATACCTTCGCGTAGATTACGCCGTAACATTGTTCGTCGAGGATAATCAGTGGTTAAAAAGATATATAAGCCTAGTCCTGAATTTGTAACAAATCTCTTAAAAAGTCTCGTAAGTATCAAAAACCAATAATAAGGGGTCCAGAGTGCTGTTGGCCGCTGGCCAGCTGACTGAACCACTTCGCAAATGTCACGTTGTAATGGGATCATTTTACTGCATGCACCATACGCGAAAATAACACGGCAACGGTAACGAAGTCTATGGATGACGCACACCAGCGGTTTCTTTAAGTTGGCAAGCCTATTACGAAAGCTGGTATATCTTGAAGGTTTTCAAGGAAACATTGTACAACGAGAGATTGCCACGAGACGTGAGTTCGAGTGTCGCTACGACCCTTTTTTATCTAGGAACGCTCATTGCGCCGCTTTTTCGTCACTAGACTTTCCTTCTCTAGGTACTATTCATTTATATACAGTCCTGCCGAAAAAGTGACGTTTTAAAGGTACTTTATCGCTTACAGAGGTTCATTGTCTTTGACGTTTCTAATTTCGGGAATTGCATCTGCACCGCCATATTGAAAAAATTCATTAAAGGATCGTTTCAGATGGGAAAGGTTTATTTCCTGGATACTGAAAAAAGTACTATTTCTTTGAGAAGATTAAAATGAATTTGGGATGTATTAATACGACCTAACATTTTTCTTATATGTGCCCATAATTATGAAAGTGGTCTAAGTCATATATTTTTTGTTTCGAAATTACATTGAATTAATTTCGTTTGAAATAATATGGCGTGAAATAACTGATAAACTCATTTTTTTTTTAATTTTGACGTAGACCACTTTCATAATTATGGGCACATATCGACAATCAAAAAACCGATCATTTCACTGGGGTAACATAAATTCCGTTCTTAGCTGCAATTTTCTTCTCTACCAACAACAAATTGTATATCACTCATTCGTTTGGGTAGTGGCATTAATATTTCTTGGCAATTGCAACAAATAAAGTGAAATATTGAATTGATTGGACATGCCACGTCGAAAGTCAAGCATAATCCAGAGCGATTTGGATCCGATCAGCTGTTTCAATTACTTTTTAATATTAACTAAAAATCCAGAGAAGTTTTGGCCTCCGTAAATTATATGTAAGATTTTAATGTAGGTGATTTATAAACTTTGTAATTATACCTACACAGCTATTCATATACTTTTCCACATTTATCTAACTGTAAATTATCCTTTCTCTTACCTTTCTTTTTATACCGTGATCATACAATCTCAGACTGATAAGGAATTCGTTTTCTATCCACCACCGTTTGTGTGATAATTAGTCTGATAAAGATAAACGGAAATTAAAAGAACCGTATGTAAGTCTGCTTTGAAAATCAGATCGGGAGAGATAGTATTTGTTATTTCCGATCTATTTTACGAACCCGGATTAATGTTTCGTAGCCACGGTTGCAAACAACGAGGACTTTGATAAGGATCATTTTGCTGTGTTATAGAGTAAAGTGCTCGGTCCGCAAAGTAACAATTGAAGTTCATACGTAGCAACGTCACTCATTCGCCTTTAAACTTTTTCTACAATCTCTGTTACAATAGTAACGCCTGATTGACGACTGGCACGTATTCAAAGGGAACATTTGAAAGAAATGGTAGGAAAGAAATGTCTAGTTTAAGAGGGAAAACTAGCAAAGTCAAGTCCCGTTTAACCACGAAGAGAGCTTCGCGTGGCTGCGTTTCGAAAGTGGTAAAGAGATTAGGAATTAAAATTCACAGAAGCGGTGATGAATGCAGATTACGAGAAATTCATCGACCTTCCTCAACTAATTACACATTCTGAACGCAATGGAAAACTCTTTTGTATAATTGGAGCACTTTAATTAGGAGCTGTTGATCAGAATTTCGCAACTGTCGACTTCGTTCCAACTTCGCTGGGGATTACGTGAAACGCGTGGTTTTCTTAAGCGATATGAATCATGAATGTGGACATTAAGCAACGTAGAGAAATCGAATCGTCAAATAATTTAGTGGTTGTACGGTCGAGTGATCTGGTTGAGCAATGACCAAATAATGCTGTTCATGTCAACTCAGCTACTCAGCCGTGTCAGAGTTGACACGATTTCGTCCGTTATGGACAAATTCCCGGACAAAAAGAAGCAAAACCTGAAAAATCCGCCCAGGACCACCCGTTATTCCATTCTGTTCATTACCATCAAAAAACCATTTATGATATTTGACATTCGCTTTCACACGAGCGCGAACAAAAAGGAAAACGATACAAACATAACGCAAGATTCCGAGAACACCCAGAATTCCAAGATTTACCGTCCAGACGATAAATACTTCGAGCATCCTTTAGATTCACCGCAAACAAAGAAGTCTGCGGTTAAACCGGGGTGCTTTGTGAATAGGTACGTCATCAGCTGTTTATTTAAAGTCTGGTCTCTTTGTTTCCTCAAACCCGTCATGTTCCCGGATTTTAATTTCCAAAGAATTTATGATCAAACAATTAGTCATATATGTACATACCCTTGAACCATCGAACATAAAGAACATGATGGCGTTACCTAGGCGATTGGAAATATTTCACGAAATCCGGAAGCATTGCATGGGCGCCATAACTCTTCGAGCCACCGTTAAGGAGCTTAATACCGTTTCGTAATTCCCGCAAAAACCATGCGTCTTTAAAATAAATTACAATTGCCCAAAGAAAGCCTCCTTAAGGTAAGTGATTATCGTGGAAAGGAAACCTCTCTAACTTCTTATTAACTTTTGTCATTTTTTTTCCCCTCCCTTTGAACTGCTCCGCAGGGTTCGGATATTCGTTAAGCGCTCTAATTACTTTTTATCTTTCCAAGAGTCCAGGTAATACGTGCCGTTCCCTGACGTACTTTGTATTTTGAAATGGAATGTGAATCTATTTTCACGAGTCGATGTGCGATGAGTCGAGATTTGATAAGGGGCAAAAGTGAAGTCGTCATGTAGTGACACTGCGTTCTCGCGTCGCGTCCTTTCGGTCTTTCCAGTTTACTCGCCGAAAGTGAACGGCGGTTGGGAACTATCCCGACGATTCGGCTCGCCATTCGTTTCGGTACACCGGCTGGAAATTTAATGGTCGACTTTCTGGCTTGCTCGAGTTACTAAGTTTTGTAACCCGCTTGGTCGCAGCCGACTGTCACCTAAACGCCGCGCCGTTCGAAATGTTCGTCGCATCTACTCCCCCTGTAACTTTCGCCTTCTTCAGAATTTTAATTAAATAAAAAATAAAAAGAATAATAGATTTTCACTTATTTTTTCTAGATAGATATTTATCCTTGGCTGCAGTGTATTCTGTATACATTTAAAACAATTCATAAATATCATACACCTAAACGCCGCGCCGTTCGAAATGTTCGTTCGTCGCATCTACTCCCCCTGTAACTTTCGCATTCTTCAGAATTTTAATTAAATAAAAAATAAAAAGAATAATAGATTTTCACTTATTTTTTCTAGATAGATATTTATCCTTGGCTGCAGTGTATTCTGTATACATTTAAAACAATTCATAAATATCATACACCTAAACGCCGCGCCGTTCGAAATGTTCGTTCGTCGCATCTACTCCCCCTGTAACTTTCGCATTCTTCAGAATTTTAATTAAATAAAAAATAAAAAGAATAATAGATTTTCACTTATTTTTTCTAGATAGATATTTATCCTTGGCTGCAGTGTATTCTGTATACATTTAAAACAATTCATAAATATCATACACCTAAACGCCGCGCCGTTCGAAATGTTCGTTCGTCGCATCTACTCCCCCTGTAACTTTCGCATTCTTCAGAATTTGAATTAAATAAAAAATAAAAAAAATATATAGATTTTCACTTATTTTTCAAGATAGATATTTATCCTTGGCTACAGTGTATTCTGTATACATTTAAAACAATTCATAAATATCATACACCTAAACGCCGCGCCGTTCGAAATGTTCGTCGCATCTACTCCCCCCGTAACTTTCGCCTTCTTCAGAATTTTAATTAAATAAAAAATAAAAAGAATAGATTTTCACTTATTTTTCAAGATAGATATTTATCCTTGGCTACAGTGTATTCTGTATACACTTAAAACAATTCATAAATATCATACACTTTTAGTACTAAAGGTTGTAGTAAAATTATAAATCTGATGACAGGAAAATGTTCGAATTCCATGATGATTAAAAATTCGAGGGTGCGAAATATGAGATTTATGTATGCATCCCGAAGCGAGGGGGTGTTCACTCCGGAAATTATGGATTTTAATGCCCGAAATCACGTGGAAGTCGCAAGCAACCCTAGTAGCATAGAATGATTTATAAATATTTCTTGATTTGAAGGACGAATTAATCCCTCATTATGTTACATAAGAAAAATTCCGGAAACCAATCAATTTACTGTTCATTTAGCAAGGGATAAGTAAGAGATTCTGCAGCATTCAGAGTTTCGAATCAATTTGGAACGCTTCAAACTCCTTTAAATAAAATACGGTAATTAGATGACTTGAGTGATTCCGTGATAACTTCATTGAAGTCCATTATCTCATCCGACTACAACCACAGCTCTACCCACAATTCTATTTTATCCTTAATAAATTACTACGAACAAATGTTTTTATGAAAAAAGTATCATCGTCTAAACCTGCAAAACTGTTCCACGTTTTCATAAGAATTCATATTAATGTCACAAATTTTGTAAACTTCCCATAGCAAATTTTACATTTTTTTTATTCGGTTCCTGATCAAGTGCACTATCTAATGAAGCGTTAATTAAACTCTTTCGAGGTCTTTTCCTATATTCTTCGCTTTCAAGTTATATATATTTAAGATAAATGACCGACAGTATAAAAAATAAAGATACGAAGACTTGGAGCGATGAATCTCAAGGACCGACAACAACAATACTGAGTTTTTTTGTAAGTGTACTGACCTGTGACTGAAGACCCTGTTCTTCCGGTACCGGAAGTGAGTGCACCAACGTGGCGCATAGCGCTGCTACTAATGCTACCGATGTGCACTTCATCTTCCCTTAAATTCTTCTGTAAACAAACAGAAACACAATTGATTAATAGCTTGTATAGGTCGGTAGACCTACTTATTTATTTCACTATATTAATAAAAAAGAAATTTATGTCGATCACAAAGGTGTGTAGGCAAATAGGAATATTTAATAACATGGAAGAGTATACATGTCCAGCCACTTAATGGAATTACGATATTTCCTCCCTTTGTCAAAGTCTGTCTTTAACAAACGCTTAGAGAGTGCCGAAAAAGTCAACATTCGTGTTTTAATGATGGTTAAATTCTGTCGAAATATGCGCAAAAAATATCTTGTCCGATTTTGTAAATAACTCGATCCAAAATCATGTCTTCTAATTTTCAATCACGATATCGGTGCGTAATCATTAGGTACATAATTCTTATAAAAGACGTATCGTTTTCTCGCGGTAGAAAACCCGCAAGACTCTGCTCGGAATGAAAGTCCGAAAACAAAAATAGGGAATTTAAAGTAAATAAAGACATGTAGCAATATAATGCCGGCAAAGAAGTCGCGCAGCTATTTGTCTGAAATTACAGGATTTTCCTCGTTTATCGACGTTTTTCTTGCAAGGGTACGTCTCGAAGCCACGGGGAAAGCTATAACTCAAGTTGCAATTATACATTTAACGATTCCGGACGCGTGTAAAAAGATTGCTCTCGCGTTTCATCTTCGGGTTGGTGTGCTGAGATTCGAAACCTGGCCCAATTTTGACTGGGCGCCATTTTGGCAGAGGTTGGGGACGCGATGACTGGCGCCGTTGGCCGGAAGTGATTCGAAAGGACTCGGCGCTTCTGAAAAAGGAGAGGCTGGGAGACATGGCGCTCCTTTCTCGAGCGCGGATTCACAACTATCACTTTCGACGAGTCGAAAGTCGACTCGGCCGTCTTGCGCCGCTCGAAACTGGACTTTTGGCTTCGCTCTCGGATAAGACTTTGAACGGCCCGCGTCCCCTGTCTACCAAACCTAATCTAACCTAACCTAACCTAACCTAACCTAACCTAACCTAACCTAATCCAACAATGTAATCCAACATCACCCGAGGAAGTGAAATTGTAGCGAATGACGGAAGAAACTTAAGCCCGTTAAGAACATATGTGACAGACTAGGCAACGACATATGTTTATTTAAAAACCTCAGATTGATAACATGATTGCATTGTATTTCTCCTTTGATACGATTCTGCATTTGTTACTGTAGCTGACATGGGAGTTTATCGATGACATTGGGTCAATTGCATTATAGGTTTGATAAAGAGGGACCGAATCTATTACGCAAAGCACTAAAAACCTGGTAATAAAATCTTTGATTTGGCTAAATAATTTTGTTAATATATAATACATTAGTTTTTTATATCTGGCTTCGTCCGGGTTCATTTTTGGTACCTGCTTTATAAAACTTGCTCCCTGTCTCGTTCCACTATTTCCTTTGTTTCTCAGACACTTTTTGTAATCCCGAAATGTCGTTACCTAAAATCTTCCCACATATTGCCTCTAGATGTTCCTAAAAACTAAAAGATAATAGGTTCAGAATTTTCCGAGATCATCGCATACGGACATTGCCTTACATGTACATACATTAGGATTAAGGTAACACGTATCATTAAATAAGCAAATTTGCTGGGCGTAATAAATGTCTTAATAGAATACGCGTATCGAATATAAATTTTCTAAAATTCCATGAATTTAATCACATCGATATGCCTTGACAGGTACTTTGATAGAATGATTGCTTGGAAAAATTGAGACAAGTCTATCAATGAATTTAGACATTATACCCTTTTATTAAGTTCTTTATCAGGCAAGTAAAAAAAAATGTACCCCGGTTATTAGATCCAGTTGTTTTGAGAAAATGATGTATTAAAATTTGTTCCTGTTATTGGTAAAATCTCCAACATTTCTTTTTGTCTGTCGCAGGTTGTTTTAAGAGAATTCCTTTAAAATTAACTTTCGACCTCGAGGTTGATTTTTCTGGACATTATCAGGAAGCACGTGGTTGGCAGAATATACGTGGGGATAATAGAGGTAAGACTCAATATGGATTCAGCACGCACGACTCACAAGAACGAGTCGTAATGCATGTTGCAATTCGGAGGTCAAGTACTTGTATGTCTTGTCTTGGAGTATTCATTGGCAGACGGTACCTCGAGGACTGAATTGCGTGGTTCTATCGCAGTTTTCTAAACTAACATCGTCCTATAGATAGAGAGAAACTCAGAGTGCGAAAGTGTCAAGGAGAACGGACACTGTTTATGTTAAAACCGCCTTTCAAAATGCGGAACGGGATATCAAAGAGCATTTTTATTTGTCCTCGGTATAGAACAATTCTGTTAGTGCGTTAAAGAGCCTTTAGTGAGAATTAAAGCGTAAAATAAAAATATGTCCATGTAAATATTTGGAAAAATAAATGGACGACGTGGATCGAAGAAAGACGCAATTAATTCAGAGATCTTATTAATCGGTGTCGTGAAAATTGTAACAGATAAATATATCAGATTGAAATAAAATCCTGATCCCGGTCGCTAATTGCTATAATTTGCTTTACTTAGATGAGAAACGATGTATTTGTCAGAAAATATTTTTTAGACAGATTTTGTAACAAAGTCTTTCGAGACATTCAGTTACCATTTAATAATAGACACTTGGGATTAATTGGCCATGTGAAAAAAATTAATTGGCCATTATTCGTACCAAAATGTATTTTACGTAAATAAACATGTCAATTTGCATGTACAAAGAAATTCTCGAGATGTTTACATAAAATGGGTTAATCATTGAGAAACGCGTTGCGTAATTACAAAATAAGGTCTTGCCCTTCGACTGGATTGCCAAGACCGAACGGATTGAATCCTTAACACGAAGGACATCCGTACTTATGAAATCCTGCGAGAAAGATCCCGCTTATTGAAATTATCCGAAGGCATTGTTTTCTGTATACATTCAATGCCAGCAAGTATATTTCTGTAACATGCACGTACACGAGAGAGATGACTTAAACGGTAACTATAAAAATGATTTACATACGAATTAAACCATTGTTTACAACCTGAGAACTTCTGTGGATATTATGCAGCCGTTCTTCAAAATTCAACTCCACTCCACTTTGGATTTTAAGGACACTTAATTAAATCGGAGCCAACGAAGGGGCTAAAAAACGATTTTCCCAAAGATTGTACGTAGTCGAAGAGTCGCCGTGGGGAGAAAGTGCACGGAAGAAAGAGAAGGAAGAAAGAATAGAAAGAACACTTAATGGCAATCCTCCAACTGAACACTCGGACTGGAAAGAACGGTCGCGCAGTGATATAAGGCGAGCGAGTGTAACGAAAGCACGAGATGAATCGTGAAAGCGGGAGACATAAAAATCCTGACTAATACGAGGGACGATCCGTTGAAGAGAGAAAGAGAAAATTATCGGCTACATGGTGGGGATGGTGTCCCCGTGATTGGTTGCCGATATGGTCGGTGATGTCGAATCTTCCAAAGTGCTCCCGGAAGAGAACGAAACGCGCGACAGGGGAATTCGAGCTCACTTGGAAAATTGTCACATTAGATAGATGGATGCATTCGAAGATGAAATATTAAGTCTACAATTTGATCGAGATTCGTTAAGGGGAAGTGAAAGTGGAAGATGTCGAATCTTCCAAAGTGCTCCCGGAAGAGAACGAAACGCGCGACAGGGGAATTCGAGCTCACTTGGAAAATTGTCACATTAGATAGATGGAAATTGAACTGTACGCATTCGAAGATGAAATATTAAGTCTACAATTTGGCAAAGGGATTTCTTGGGTGTCCCTTTCCAGTTCGTTAAGGGGATGTGAAAGTGGAAGATGTTGAATCTTCCAAAGTGCTCCCGGAAGCGATGAACGAAACGCACGACAAGGTAATTCGAGGTCACATTGGAAATGGTCACATTAGATCGATGGAAATTAAACTGTACGCATTCAAAGATGAAATATTAAGTCTACAATTTGGCAAAGGGATTTCTTGGGTGCCCCTTTCCAATTTGATCGAGATTCGTTAAGGGGATGTGAAAGTGGAAGATGTCGAACCTTCCAAAGTGCTCCCGGAAGAGAACGAAACGCGCGACAGGGGAATTCCAGCTCACTTGGAAAATGATCACATTAGATAGATGGAAATTAAACTGTACGCATTCGAAGATGAAATATTAAGTCTACAATTTGGTAAAGAGATTCCTTGGGTTCCCCTTTCCAATTTGATCGAAATTCGTTAAGGGGATGTGAAAGTGGAAGATGTGGAATCTTCCAAAGTGCTCCCGGAAGCGATGAACGAAACGCACGACAAGGTAATTCGAGGTCGCTTTGAAAATGGTCACATTAGACAGATCTAAATAAAACAGTACGCATGCGAAGATGAAATATTAAGTCTACAATTTGGCAAAGGGGTTGGGTGCCACTTTCACATCACCTTACGCACGTAGAGGGAGTTAAAAGACAAAAACGTATGTGATCGTGATGGGTAAAAATTGCATTAAGGAGCGATACTTTCCTCGAATTAAAAGTTCATTTGCGGTTTTAAGCAAGCAACTTCCGGAAGATGGACGATGGACCAAAATGTATAATTTCCAAATTTGCACAAAAACCCGTTCAAGATCTCGTAAAAATGTAATTCCACCTGTTCGTTCCAACGATACCAAGCTGCTGGTAATATTGTTGGACGAGTCGTTGCAACGATTCCCGGGATTGAACATTTTTATTAGAAAGATACCGCTTCAAGATCAGGAAGGGTTACGTCTCCTTAACACGAATTATCCCACCGACAAAGAAAAAACATACGTATTTCGTTTCTCGACTCTCTCTACTTACCGCCAAATTATCACGGAAACGGACTGGGGCCCCAGGGACACTTCCCTCGCGAGATAGAGATCTGGGCAGCGAGTAGAAATCGGTGACCCTAGGTGCAGACGAGAACTTCCACGAGTACGCATATACCTACGGTGAAATCGCAACAAGACGGAGATCGGTAACGGGGTGACGGCTCACAAACTATTTCAGCACCGTGACGGATTGCAATTAACTGGACGAAACGCATTCACCGCGGACACACCGACAAAAGAAAATCCGGCGCATTACAATTTTATACAAATACAAGGCTTGAGTTTCGACCCCAGAGAGGGACCACAGGCGAACTATCGGGACTTCCGGCAAGTAAAAGTTTCCCACTGGTATCTTAAAATGCCCCAAGGTACGAGTTTTGCTCCCGACCCAGGTTGCACTTCCACGCCGCGGTTTCACCCCACGTCACCACCGACATAAACGCAGTCGTCATTAGATCCGTTCACCCGACATGCGCAGCTCTCGTCAGGGCGGTAAGTGCAGCTTCGAGTTGTTCGAAAATTTCAGCGAGCCATCGAGGAACCGCACTTATTCCGCCAGGAAAGTCGGCATACGGCAGGCGAACGAGCCCGCGATCGCTTTATACGTATCGCCCTATTGGTCTCGCCGGAAAGCGATCGGAAGGAAGCGGAAAGAGCCAGAAGAAGCCTAGAGGAGTCGAAGGACGACTCGCGACCGAATCTCGCCCCCGGGGTCGAAGGACCCTCTTCCGGCCTCTTGCCCTCTGGCAGAGAATTCCGCGACGCGAGTCGACTTTCCTCGGTCGCGAGGGAACCGGCTCTCGCACACTTTCCTCTCCTAGCAGGACTACTCACGAGTAGATACCGCGTGTCCTCTTTAGCTACTTCTCGGGCTTCCCCTGCGTGGAAAAAGGCTTTCGTTTTTGACGCCTCTCCTGCGCGGGGGGTATACTTCGTCTCGCGTATTCCTTTTTGCGGCACTTAGATCATAGTCCACGTGGGTCTGCCGCGAGATGACGAGACTTTGGGGAACTCACCACACGGGGTCCGTCACTCGTGTTAACTTAAAACTCGACTTAAGGACCTAGAGGGAGCCCGCGCCGCTCCTGCTCGTTCGACTTTTCTGTGACTGTCTGTGTGGCGGCGCTAGGTGAGCGGCTTTTATTAGCAGGAGGGGCCTGCGCCACCTCCACGCTACACTTAACTCTGTCCCGCCGAACCCGGGAAGAAGGGAGACTCCTCGACTTCAGGCGGACGCCAGACCGTCCAGACGCGCCGCGGCCGACGAGAGGTGCGATTGCGACCCATCGGTAAACCAACCCACGGTATTCATTCAGGAAATCCTGGATTTTAATGCGAGAAATCACGTGGAAATCAGATGGAAATCGTCATGGTACTGTTAACATTTTAAGGCCGAACGTCCCTTGTTACCGAATCGCATTGTTATTTATCATATGAAATGAAAGGCAATAGGTTCTCGAAGGGACGAGAGGTGCGATTGCGACCCATCGGTAAACCAACCCACGTCTCGGGTATTCATTCAGGAAATCCTGGATTTTAATGCGAGAAATCACGTGGAAAACAGATAGAAATCGTCATAGTACTGTTAAGATTTTAAGGCCGAACGTCCCTTGTTACCGAATCGCATTGTTATTTATCATATGAAATGAAAGGTAATCGGTTCTCGAAGGGACGAGAGGTGCGATTGCGACCCATTGGAAAACCAACCCACGTCTCGGGTATTCATTCAGGAAATCCTGGATTTTAATGCGAGAAATCACGTGGAAAACAGATAGAAATCGTCATAGTACTGTCAACATTTTAAGGCCGAACGTCCCTTGTTATCGAATCGCATTGTTATTTATCATATGAAATGAAAGGCAATAGGTTCTTAAAGGGACGAGAGGTGCGATCGCGACCCATCGGAAAACCAACCCACGGTCTCGGGTATTCATTCAGGAAATCCTGGATTTTAATGCGAGAAATCAGATGGAAATCGCAAGAGGACATTACTGGAAATCGTCATGGCACTGTCAACGTTTTAAGGCCGAACGTCCCTTGTTACCGAATCGCATTGTTATTTATCATATGAAATGAAAGGCAATCGGTTCTCAAAGGGACGACAGGTGCGATTGCGACCCATTGGAAAACCAACCCACGGTCTCGGGTATTCATTCAGGAAATCCTGGATTTTAATGCGAGAAATCACGTGGAAGTCAGTTGGAAATCGTCATGGTACTGTCAACATTTTAAGGCCGAACATCCCTTGTTACCGAATCGCATTGTTATTTATCATAGGAAATGAAAGATAATAGGTTCTCAAAGGAACAAGAGGTGCGATTGCGATCCATCGGAAAACCAACCCACGGTTTCGGGTATTTATTCAGGAAATCCTGGATTTTAATGCGAGAAGTCACGTGGAAATCAGATGGAAATCGCAAGAGGAAATCAATGATAATCGTCATATTACGGTCTACATTTTAAGGAGTTATACCACTTTGAAATTTTCAAAAAATAAAAAAAATGTTTACGCGTTTGTTTTGCGCGTTTATTTTACGCGTTTTTCTTAAAACTGCATTTTAAAAATCGGTGGGCACTCTAGCTCCGCCAATTTTCAATCAATCGTCTTGATTCTTTTTTTATTTTATTCGTGATATGTTTATCTAGCGAAATACGTATAGCTTTTTCAATGTATTTATATTCGCGTTTTTTATGCAACATTGATTAACGAAATTTAAAGCAAAATACGTATCTTTCCATTCAAATCGATGCCATTTTCTGAAAAATGCATATTTTTTAAAACAGTTATGGGAGCAAAACGTGTGATTTTGATTTTAAATATATTTAATACGTTTATAATCTATTCGGAAGATAATATTTAAAAAATACTTGTATTCAAATGAAACGAAATGTACGATATTCGTTAAATATATATAAAATATAGCAGAAATATTTTGTGTTACCAGGGCTATTTTAATTACATCTTATACGTTATAAAATATATGGGAATATCTACATCAATGAAAAGAATATATTATTCATCGAGATGAATTTTAAAACGATATGGGCCAGGAGTTTTACCAAACGCGTATCATCGCACAGGTAGCGTGATTTCGGTGCAATGTTTTTATTATATAATTAGATAAAATGACGTAGGGAAGCAGGGTATAGAAAGTGGACTATTGTTACTCTTGGCAGAGGGTATCGCGTGCTCTGTACAAGAGAGCCGACGCAGGAACAGGTGCATTCATTTTTGTCATTAAGTTCTAATTTCTACGTAAATGTCCCGCGATTCAGTCCTTGCATCTCTGATGATTCTCGTGTCCCCTTTGGGGTGTTATTAAGAGGAGTTTCAGAGTAAGACCGTCGCGCATGTACTCGAGCATGGCGAGGTTCTCCCGCACATGAGGCAACGGAAAAATCTCTGGAGAACCGTCGTCGGCAACTCTTTCCCGTCTGGCAATTCCACCATGACTGTACACTTGTTTCGTGCGCGTGCCACCGCGAGAATGCCCATTACTCCAGACATGTCGTCGCTTAGGAAAGTACGAATTGCGCTTACCCTGCGACAGTACCACGACAAAAAGTCGTTACGCCGGACAATTGAGTACCGATGGAAGGTCGGTGTCGACCGGGCCTGCGCTGACAAGAAGTATGTCCAGATAAATGTCCTCTTGACACAAGACACCGTTGCAATTTATTTCGTTCAAATGATATGCTCTTAGGTCACATGAACCGTATTCCCCGTAGGTACACCCCGGAGCTTTGACCGAATAAATTATTCCCGACTGTTGCAAGTCCTTGCGTTACCTTATAAGACGAATGATTTATCATTTTCTTCGTTGTCGGTAGTTTCAAGAAAATTATGCCAAAAGTTCGACCGAGATCATTTACTGTATCGTTTAGAGCAATAAATGTACATAAAAATCTGGCCAGAGTAAGGATAGGTCAAGTCATTTATTGAGGGAAATTGATGGTATTGCTCTTTATGAATTAGATACCTTTACGCTTAATCTTTCATATACATTTGTTGGAAAAAGTTTTGTAACGTCGTTTTATTAAAAATTGTTTAAATTTGCATTTACGGATTAAGTAATCACGTGTCGAATTTTGTACTCGTTTATACTTCATGAATCTCTTTAGAGTCGCTGTATCGAGAAATGTTGGAAATGTATTATTAATAAAGTTCTTATTAAACTTTGTTTTGTACGATTAATAAGACGTTTCTAGAAAATGTTTAACAAGATTTTATTATCAAAGATAAATCGAACATACGTGCCTCGGAGGACTATTTACTTGTGTTAGAGTGTCGCAAGAGGTTTCTCTAGGAAGATGGGATTCTAGTGATTCATTCAACCTTGTTTCCTCGCGTGACAGGCCCCGAGGGTAAGGTCATTACCATGCCACATTCAAGCCCTGAGTACGAAACAATTATACAGAGATTAAATCGGAATGTTTTAACTGTTATTTACAGCAGTCTACGTCGTCGAAGTTTGCTACACTATTGGTGGTTACAATAAAAAAGAAAAGAAAACGAAGAGACCGTGATAATATTTATTCTTTTCATCGTGCAAATTTTCAGAATTGCTGGAAAATATTCTGGGATATTTTTTTAATATTTTGTTCAACACTGATGTTATTGATTTTCAGGATTTTGCAAACGAATCGTATCAACGATATCGTGTCACTACTCAGGCACCGCAAAACGTGGAATATCCGTAAATTAATCGTATATAAATGTTTATTGAACGTATGTAAGACATATATAGATATCTATGAACTCTATTTTTGATACACTGAAAGGCTAGATGTCCGGATATGACATATAATATATATGAATATTCATATATATTTGTACAGAAATTATAATTTCATCACATCATAATTTACACAGTGGTAAAAAAACATGATGTATGGTCACCAGTCAAAGAGGAAGTAAATAAAAAATCAGAGTATGGCCGAAATTAACACTTTTATCAAGTTGGAATTTAGATATAAACATTAAGTACGTATGAAAAATGTTAGGTTACATGAGGTGTATTTTTATTTTTCTAAACGTATTTTCAATGTTGATTAACCTTTGGTAGATGTCTACTAGAGCTATTATATATTTCGTATGCGTCAAGAAATAAGTAGATACATGTAGATCAATAGTGGATATATCATTTTCATCCACAATGGACATATATATTTATATATATCCTTTAGATATTTCTTAGGTGGATGATACACGATATACATTTGCTATACCTTTAGACCTAATTTAGACGATTAATTTACGTATATTCCACTTCATGGGCTGCCTGAGTACTTTGGATTTCGGAAAGACATCTAAAAAATTCTTTGCAGTGTCATAATTTTTTTTCAAGCTTCTGAAATTTTCCATTTCTTATTAAATCGTTAATCACTTTGTTGTCACCCTTCTGCCAAACTGTATCGGATCATTGTACTTTTTATGCTTCCTAGACTTTTATCAATCACAGAGTAGGTGTGTATTTTGGTTACTAATTGAAAGTTTTGTTTTCATCTACTTGAAGGGTTAACCTGGAGCGGGGTTTATGCTCAACATTGAACTACACATAAAACGAAGGTTCTGGTCTAAAGAAACGCCCATGGCGGATCAGTGGATCGTCTAACGACCAGCAGAAGTAACGACCCGGTGATTCGCGCGGCAGTGATTTTGGTGGACGGAAAAGCGGGGAAAAAAGACGGATACTGTCGGACGACGACTAGGAAAGGCGTGATTTATCGAGTCCTTTTTTGCATAGCCTTCTCAATCGTTAGTCGCCGCCGAAATGGAACGAGCTTAAGCCGAGTTTCGAGGCAAGTCAAGTGTTAAAGCGTTGTCTTTCAAGAACCGTACTCGGCCCATCCCACGATCAAGTGGACTGTCGTGGACTTTCAGATTTCTTTGTTACTTGGCGTTCTTTATTCTCGTTTCAAAATGGCCGACCGTCTCGGTTTTACGGCTTGGCCACGCGACGGCCAGCCGATCTCGTTGCACGTGATCGACGTAGCGCGAATTCCTGAATAACTCCCAAAAAAGGGGTATGGTTTACGATCTGTCATCGGCTCTGCGGCTAGGGCTGCTTTTCAGGTTGGTTTATACGAAATGGAATTCATCACAGAGGTAAAGTTGAAAGGATTTGGCAATACATGCACAATTGATTAATGTCTGGATAAAAGTTCAGCTACAGATGGTTATCGCATTTATCCATCATTTCAACCTTGCGGATGTTTCCTTGCATCGATGTACAGTTCCTTGTTGACGTTTTAAGAAAGCTGTCAGTGTGTCAATTAATCTGGCTTAATGCATGTGCTTGATGTAACGCAAGTTCTTAAAGATTACCTGTGAGACGTCTCCTCTTTGGGAGGCGACCCCTGCCTTATGGGGATGACCAGGAGGAAATCAGTTGGTGTGTGCTTCAATGGACTTCGGACAATGAGTGTGTGTGTGACCCAAGGAGGGTGAACAAAGTGACTAGAGTAAAGTGGTAACTGAGGTGATAAGACAGAGTGCTATATGGGAGCCTTTGAATACTGAGGTCTGTGGCATCATGTTGACTGGGGCGGGTTATGACCGTCCAGTCCACATGGTCCCTTGAGTGCGGTCGTGTGTGTCCACCAGTGGGTGGACGAGTTTTTGGGGCGGACACTTCGTGCGTTGCTTCCCTTAGTGTCGTTGCACGCTCATCACTGGTTGGTTACTGAATAAGGATGCTTCTGGCAGGTATGTCGTGCGTTGTCCACTAAACGGTGGACAAGATTTCCCTTCATACCCGATGCACATCTGACTGGGGCGGGTTATGAC